GTGGGGGTTAGGTTAATTGGTGATCTTGGATATAGATGTGCATGTGAGCAAGAATGATAGTTAGCTGTGTGACACAGTTATTATAGTTTTGTATTTTGTCATTAATTTTTATTTTATTTCATTTTGACTTTTTGTTTTTATTTCAAGTTTCAAGACTGTTCTTGTTTCAATTTATTGTTTGAAAAAGTTTAGTTTTAGTTGGGTTTTATTACTGTTATATATATATTTTTTAATTATTGTTGTATTTGTAATTATTGTTGTATTTAGTGCAAACGTCAGAGGTAACATTTAGGAAAACCAATAGAAATAACAGTTGGGTCAACTGTTTTTTTTTTAAAACAGTTGACCCACTTGTCTTGTAGATGTTCAGTGTCTCAAACATGTCCATCAATAACATGTCAGGCGCATTGTAATAACATTTTTACCAAACTAACAAATACTGAAACTAAGGCTATTTCCTCTATAAACTGATTTGTATTTCAAATGAGGTCATTTAATCATTTCTGTTGATTATTGTTTTTATTTTGTTTAACTAAAATATTCATATCTAGTCTTAGTTTTTACTTTAGTTTTAGTTGAGTGGAATAACCTTAGCAACCTGTTCAGGGTGTACTCTGCCTCTCGCCTGACAACTGGGAAAGGCTCCAGCAACCCTGGATTGGATAAGCAGAAGAAAATGGATGGATTGAGATTTTTAAGCATGAATTCCTCCCAGGGGTATTACGGTTTTAATTGTGAGGGTCTAAACCAAATGGCCAGCACTCTGTCCAAAAATGTTTTGGTCTCTTTTCCCTCTTTTCCCCCTTTTGTCATATTTGTTCATTATTTGTAGACCCTAATTATACAGAAAATTAGATACAGCGGTAGAACTACAATATTACAGATTTTAATTTTAGTGCCTTAAACCACAGGAATACTGTGATATTCAGACTCTTTTCAGGTTTAAGGATTCAATTTATGTTTTTCTTTCAATAGCAGATTTTCTTTCCCTTGTAGTAAATTTGAATATTACAATTTAATGTCTTTAGACATGATTCATTTATATTCATGATGCATTTGTCAGTTTTATTCTTGAGACCTTTATAGCACATGACTTATGTATACCATGTTCTTACATTTCTAACATAAATATTATTTACTGTAATACAATGGATTAATTTGGTTGTCACATGAGTAATAAAGCAGCAGCAAAAAAATACGTCTCTGCTTCTGCTTTAGCTATTATATCATATTGTTTTCTGTTGTTTCTATTCTGTATTGTTTCTATAGCTGTAAGATGGAAACATGATTTTTCAAATCCTGATCTTGTTTTTTCTGACACTAAAAATAAGCTACCTGCCAAAAAGTATTTTGTAGCACCAC